CTTCGGAGTACATGCAAATAAACTCAAGATAGATCACATTCATTCCATCTGAGCAACGATCTATCCCTACCACACTCCATCTGAGCCCAACATGCATCATGATATGCATACACTAATGCACAACAACAATTCACGCACACAAAAGGTGCCCACGATCCATCCGATCACATTTCACCATACCTCATATGTATATCTCACACATCACCACATTCATACGCAATCACATACACTGAATTCAATCATTCAAATTAAACGAATATCAAGGAAATCATATTCCACACCACACATATACTCCCCATAGTTCAATATTAATATCATAATCAATCATGACCAACAAGGGTCCAACATCACGAGAGAACCGAACAACACAACTCAAAAACACAAACATACTGTCATGCTCGCTGGCTCATTCGCCTGGCGAGGCCCCGCAGCGAATGCTCGCTAACCATTCGCTCGGCGAATCCCCCAGCGAAGACTCGCTACTAGCTCGCCCAGCGAACTCCCTAGCGAATGCAGACAATGGCTACTAGAAGCACTCGCTGCCCAGTTCGCCTGGCGAATCCCTGGAGAAGGTTCGCCCCAGTTCGCTCAACGAAGGTGCTGGCGAACGCCTGCAAATTCAGAAAAATTCCACTGCTCAGAGTCGGCAAGACTCTCCGAACTCAGCCGATTCTACTCAAACCAGTCCCCATCATATCAGACCAATATTCTATAACCTAACTACATAATCTATTCTCGATTTAACCCGATTAAATGTCAGCTCTACGCACTTAATCAATTTCGGCATATACACGACAATTACCCGAAATCCCCAAATCACCAAACGATCCCTCTACATCACATGCAACAGATTCAACATATCATCAACAACTCGGAATTTCCAACACATACCAACAAAATCATCACAACCTAATGGGGTTAGGGAAATCCCTTTCTACCTAGTATTCATGCCACATACCATTCGACCCGATTCTCCCCCCTTACCTCGATAACTCGAACAACTGATGAATCTTGCTCCAAAGATGATTCCTAGTTTCCTCTTGCTCCAATTCACCTTGTTCTTCTTCTTCCAATTTTTTCTTGATCGAGCTCTTCTTTCTCTTCTCCTTCCAACGTGTTTCCTTCTTCTCCTTCTTTCCAATATTCCAACAATACCCCTCATCCCAATTCTTTTTATTCTATTTCTTTTATTTACTTAATAATAATAATAACAATAATAATAATATTACTATTAGTCATTAATTTATCATTATCACTAATAATTTTATTATTAGTCTTAAAGCCCAAAATTATTAATTAATTCCAACTTAAGGGCTACACACAATCGCACTCAAACACCCCCACAAAACACACCGAAAATAAAATAACACGGAAAAACAAGATAATTAAAATGGGCGTTACAGTTTTCATCGATTTTATGTGAAATGAGTGTGAATTATTTATTATTGATATTATCCTACAGGTGTTTAATATCTCATAGTCAATCACATGATTTCATATATAAGAGCTTATATAAGAGCAACATATAGTGGTTACGTGTATACGTTGAATGTATCAAGCAGACATACAAGTACATAATATTTACGCACCTTTTTCATGATTTCTCTTAAAGCATGTGCTGCCATTCCAACATATTGGATACACTCCTTGTCCCAAAACACAAAACAACCAGTAGTGCAATCATTTTCGACCTCGATTTCGATTTTATACCTAAGGAAATGGTTGAAATATAATTAAGTTAACCAACATGTTTAAATAAGGTTCTTAGATAATTTATATAGAACTACAAAAGATGTGCTTACTTGGTGAGTGGTGGAGGTGTATTTTCACAACATGTGCATATGAATGGCTGCCCAGGAAATTTATTAGTTCTGTTACATGCTGGACACTGCTCATAGTATTAACCATACCTACTTGACTTGAACCTCTTTGTGGTTCCAAAAGTGTTACAAAAAGATTACTGTAAATAAACATGGCATGTTATATTATTGGAAACTTGCAATTGAGTAAAAATGAAGGAAACATCATAAAAAATGGTTATGTTGCGTTGTGATAAAAACTGGAGCATAGGAACTAATACGCTTACATATTGAAGAATCATGATGTCAACAATGGTTTTGACATCATTGGTGTAGGAGAAAGATCGGTCCATAAACGACCCTTGTGATGCAGAAGGTTGGGAAAGTGGTTGTGAAAGAGTTTGTGAACTCGCCTTGTCTCCCAACCTAAATAAAATTGAAACATTATATACAGTGGAGTACATATAAGGGATTTGACTATTTATCACATTGAATAATATTTCCTTACTTGGATTTGAATGTTGTGACATGTGGATGAACAAAATCAAGAAGCAATTTGGATATGTTCCAAGCATTTGAGATGTACCATTTTCCGGTGGCTGCAAAAAAATAACAGTGGCATAACAGTAAGAGTAGTATAAGAAGCCAATCACAAATGAAAGGAATAAGAGTGAAATAACATTTTCAAGCATTACTTGAACTTTTCTGGCACATAGCATGAGTGATTATTATTATAGTCTGGCCATGTGCGGTATGCTCAGTCGAGTATGCCATGAATTGGTTGGCATATGATTCCCAAAGTGTAATATCTATTTCAGAACCACTAATAATAAAGAGAGAAAAAAGTTATAATATGATATATATATATATATATATATATATATATATATATATATATATATATATATATATATATATATATATATATATATATATATATATATATATATATATATATATATATATATATATATATATATATATATATATATTTATAACTTCTCTCTCTCTCTCTCTCTCTCTATATATATATATATATATATATATATATATATATATAGAGAGAGAGAGAGAGAAGTTATAATGAAGAACCACTAATAATAAAGAAGTTATAATGTGATATACATTTCATCAGATAAGGTAATGTTGACACAAACCTTCTTTCCGCCTCCTGCAACTTGAGACCTGACTACTTGGTGAAGTACACCAATGACATCTGTTTGATAGTAAGGCCAAATGGTTAGTCTATTAGTTCACAAACATGTAATAATGCAAATGATGATTAAGAAAATTTTAAATACCATATAAGCGGTTGACTTGGAAATCTCCGTGTAAAAAATCGACGATGGGTTTGAAATGAAATTGATGGGGTGGTATTTCTGGTAAATTTACCATGGTTACAATGGTCCCACTATTGAAAAAAAGCTTCAACGGATTTTCACAAATTTTCAAAGGAATATCATTGTTTAATGGATCACCATTATAAATCATATAAGTCATATGTTCTTGTAACCTCTGTTTCAACAAATTGAAATCTCTGTTGCGGGTAACGACGTGTATTTTATCACACTATGAATCAAACGAATAGTTAGTACATATTTTAAGTTATGTAAAAGTTAGATAACATATTTATAGCAATAATGCATACCTTGCTATCTTGGATAACACATTCAAAATGTTGTTGTCCATTACGCTCGGTTACAGTCCATAGATCAACAATACGGATGGCGAGCTTCCATACATTGTTTCCTAGCTTCAAATCAGCAATCATAATAGGTGCTCTAGACACGGTGATCTGAAAAGTAACAACTACAATATAAGTTCATAACAGACACAGTTTTCAGATGTGTTTTCAGAGATGAATAACAATAACCAAATGTACATAAATTGTTAGCAAAGCTTGTAGCTTTCTTATCGGGAAAAAAGATGAACACAAAGCAACATTCATCTCAAAACCCAGAAAAACAGATTCAAAACGAATTCAAAACAACATCATGATAATCAAACCCACAGTCATTGTAAACCCAGAAAAGCAATGGTTGAACTATGGTTTGTGAAACAAAAAAACCAGACTCTTGATTTGTGAAACAGAAAACCAGAAAAACTAAAAATAAAACAATGGTTGAACTATGATGTGCAGGGAGAGAGGCGATGGAAATAGGAGCATGTACCTTCTTATTTTTAGCTCGCAAGCAATACAGACGAGGGAGATGATGATGTTCTGAAGTATGAAGTGTGGAGAAAATGGAGAAAAGTGAAATATGATTTGTGGAGAAATGAGAGAAATATCAGAAGAAGGAAAGATATAGAGAAGCATGAATAGTGTGAGAAGAGAGGGAAAATGGAAAAAGTTTTGGGACCAATGGTTAACTTACACGTGGATGAGAACCAAACTCTTAGCAAGTGTAAATATATGAATATGTTGATTACCAAAGTGTCCCTGTTGAAAGCAAAATGTAATATTTGTTATTAAATATTTTTGTAATAATGGTGACATCTTTTTGCAATGGGAGATAGTTGAAGTATGGTATCCAACAAAAATTCATAAGTATCTAAGAATTTAACAACAAAAAATTCTTCAATCTTCTAAATATTTTGGAGAGGTAAAAAATTAAATAAAAAACAGTTTTAAAATATACAAATTTCTCGAAGAATATAGGTAAGAAAATACAGAAAATATATTTCTATGTTTTAAATAAGTGTAAATTGAGGGGAAAAAATTTTAATTCCCAATTTCCAATAAATTTCATCGCTATAAGACAGAATTAACCATTTCACAATGTTTTCAAAAAATAAAAATGTCAAAAAATTGATACACGTCATGAATTTGCTTTATGGAACGTGGCATTCAGTTTTAGTCGTAAAAAGAAACCGTCGACAGCAGGGTTCGAACCTGCGCGGGCGAAGCCCAATAGATTTCAAGTCTATCTCCTTAACCACTCGGACATATCGACTTATATATTACCTTTCGTTCTTTCTTTGTTATATTAATTTTTTTTCTGAGTTTTATTTAAAATTTTAAAACTTAACGATGTAGTTTGCTTTTTCTTTTCTCGAAAAACAAACAAGAAAGAAAGGGTTATTCATAGCAGAGGCCCTGCCCTAGCACTCATTAGTCTCCATTCCCGTCGCCGTCGTATCGGCGCACTCGCCCTCCCCGCGCCGCCGTAGCGACATTGCCGCAGTGCTGCTGCTCAGAAAATGACCAATAACCAGTTGATCGTGAACATCCCAGACAAGCAGCCTCACGACCTTCACCACCAACCTACCGGTCACGTTATCTAAACCTTTTACTTCAATACTTTACTACGTTTTTTCTATTCGAGTCATTGAATTGAAACTGTGTTGTTTCTGTTATGTGCAGTTACTGTTTTTGCTTCATCCATTAACCCAAAGCATGCCAACCAAATTGTTAGGTTAACTTTTTATTCAAATCTTACTTTATATCAATTTTTTGTGCTCTGTAAGCTAATCTGTGCTTCAATTTCTTGTTAGGCGTTTGAATCAGATAGCACCACTTGGCGATCTCCGTCATGTGAAACGAATTCGGAAGGAAGTTCTAGAAGGAGGTAGTTTTTCATTGTTAACATAGATTATGCAATGAAGGGGTGTATATATAAATGAATAGTATTAGTAGCGAATAAAATTTGGTTTAGTTAATACAAGGCATTTTACGTTCATATAGTTGGAGTTATATGTATTTTGTACAAGTGTGCTGTTTTATTGGTTTGTTTTTTGTTGATATGAGCTATGGTTGTTAGACCGAGTAAGTTGCCAATGACATTGGGAATGTTTGACAGGACAAATAGAGTTATCAGTGGTCTTGTGCCTGGCTTATGAAGGTGATAATCAGTTGGATGGTGTGCCGCCTCATCTTCAGGAGATGATCAGTTCCTATCAGTTGAGTCCTTTTATTACAAATGTGGGTTTTCGTTTTTTGTTTTTCGTATTAATTAATGCTAATGATTGCTTAGTGTTGTAATATTAGTATTATTATTATTAGAATATGTTGAATATCATACAGCTTATTATGAGCTGGTATCCTATACAACTTATTATGAATAATTAGCATTTATAGGAGAATAATTACACCCTTATTTAGATAGATGTATAGTCTATAAATACCTCTTATGTATTCTTTACAAGATATATAAAATATTTTCATATTTCAACATGGTATCAGAGCTCCCGATTCTAGGGGCTCTGCTTCCGCGCTCAAAACACTAGCCGTTCTTATTACGGTCCTTTTTTTTTCAAGGTTCCCTTTCTCTTGGAACCCTAGTGATCTTGGTGACTTTGCAGCCATCGTGCACCGCTCAACCGCCGTTGCAGATCCGGACGTTTTCACCTTCATCTTTTTTTTTAGGACAACCTTCATTGCCGTACCTCTATTTACTTGCTGTTTGCAGCCCTTGATTGTTCGGTTGTCATCGTTGTTGGTGTTTCTAATTGGCAGCCCTTCGATCCTCTCCTAACAGTAGATCTCGATCCTCTCCTGGTTCGAGACGGTTTGTTTCTCTCTATGGACTCCTTGAGTAAGTTCTCTAACACTAGTTCTCTGACCATGATGGGTAAGAATTCTAGCTCCTTAGCTTTTAATGCCTCTTGTTCTAAAGATATCTGGATTATTGACTCTGGTGCAACTGATCACATGACTCCATATATGTCATATCTCTCTTCTTATTCACCTTTACCTAATAAAAGCCATATTACCGTTGCAAATGGGTCTCAAACCCCGATTGTCGGATCTGGTAACATCCACCTAAGCCCATCTCTCCACCTAAATGATGTGCTTCATGTCCCTAAGCTTTCTAACAATCTTTTGTCCATCCATAAACTCACTAAAGACTTGAACTGTGTAGTAACCTTTTTTCATTCTCATTGTGTTTTTCAAGATCTTGCCACAGGTAAGACGATTGGAATTGCTGAGGAACAGAACGGGTTATATTGTCTGCCTCATAAGGAAAGTAAGTGTCATCAGGCTGGTTCAGAGTCATGGGCAAATGCTCAAATATGGCTCCAACACAGGCGTCTTGGACATCCTCCTTTCCAGATGCTCAGGTCTCTATTCCCTCACTTATTTACCAAAGTGTCTGTTGATTCCTTTCATTGTGATGTGTGTCAGTTTGCCAAATCTCATCGAGCAACCTATTCCCCTAGTAATACTAGGAGTGTCGAACCCTTTGATCTTGTTCATTCTGATGTATGGGGGCCTTCATCTATTTCCAATATTTCTGGGGCAAAATGGTATGTTACCTTTATTGATGATTGTACTCGGGTTACATGGGTTTTTCTTATGAAAGATAAGTCTGAAGTGTGTCAATTGTTTGTTAACTTTTTTCAAATGGTCAAAACACAGTTTGGAAAACCTATTAAACGGTTACGGTCAGACAATGGTAAGGAGTATGTAAACCAAAATTTTTACAATTTTCTCAAAACTAATGGTGTTGTTCATGAGTTGACTTGTGTTAACACTCCACAACAAAATGGGGTTGCTGAAAGAAAAAATCGTCATCTTCTTGAAATCACCCGAGCATTACGCTTTCAAATGAATGTTCCTAAATTTTATTGGGGGGAAGCTGTCTTGACCTCTGCTTATTTAATCAATAGGTTACCTTCTAGGGTGTTATCTGGTGTTAGTCCTGTGCAGGTCCTGACTCAATTCTTTCCGTCTGTGCCCATCTTGTCAAGTCTTCAGAATCGTGTCTTTGGTTGTTCTGTCTTTGTCCATGTTCATGGCCCTCATCGAGGTAAGTTAGATCCTCGAGCTATTAAATGTATTTTCATAGGATATGCTTCAGATAAGAAGGGGTACAAGTGTTATCATCCTCCTTGTCGTCGTGTCTATATATCCATGGATGTTACTTTTCAGGAATCAGAGTCTTTTTATCCCAATCCTCAGCTTCAGGGGGAGAATAATCAAGAAGCTGAGTCTTCAGAGTTGTCTATTCTTCCTGTTATTCCTCTAATACAGGACCCAGAGTCGTCTCCTGAATTGTCTGTTCTTCCTGTTATTCCTGTAATACAAGAGCCTTTGATGCCTAATGAGGATGGTGGTGATGTATCAATACCGGTGCATAATAATGATGAGGATGGTGGTGATGTACCAATACCGGTGCATAATAACGTTGACAGATACAAGTTACAGTTCCAGCGAAAAAGGTGGAAAGGTAAACCCGTTCTGCCCCAACAAGTCCAATCGTCTGAACCTGAGGTAAGTGTTCCTAACCCTGAGCCTAGTAATTCTTGTGAGCTGAACCTTGATGACCTACCTATTGCTTTGAGAAAAGAAAAAAGGTCTTGTACTAAATACCCTATATCCCAGTTTGTGTCTACTGAAAAACTTTCTGTGCAGCATCAGAGTTTTATTTCAGCTATTGACTCTATTAGAGTCCCTACATCAGTACAAGAAGCATTAAAGGATAAGAACTGGATTCAAGCCATGAATGAAGAGATGCAGGCACTAGAGAAAAATGGGACTTGGGAGATTATTGAGAAGACAAATGACAAGAGGCCAGTAGGTTGCAGATGGATATATACGGTAAAATACCGATCCGACGGCACACTGGACAGATATAAGGCGAGGCTAGTAGCAAAGGGATACACCCAGACCTATGGAATTGATTATGAAGAGACATTTGCTCCAGTAGCAAAAATGAACACTGTAAGAATCATTCTTTCCTTGGCAGCTCACTTTGATTGGGAGTTGCAACAGTTTGATGTGAAAAATGCTTTCTTGCATGGAGATTTGAAGGAAGAGGTGTATATGGAGATCCCACCTGGATATGACCCTACTTTAGGAAGTAATAAGATTTGCAGATTAAAGAAGGCCATATATGGGCTCAAGCAATCACCTCGAGCTTGGTTTGGAAGGCTCACTCATGTTATGGTGTCCTTGGGTTATAAACAAAGCCAAGGTGATCATACTCTCTTTATAAAGCATTCTCAAAATGGTAAACTCACTCTTTTGTTAGTCTACGTAGATGATATGATCATAGCAGGTAATGATGAATTTGAGAAGATGAACTTGAGGAAGAAGTTGGCAGCTCAGTTTGAAATGAAGGACCTTGGAAAGTTGAAATATTTCCTAGGTATGGAAGTAGCATACTCAAAACAAGGCATTTTCATTTCTCAGAGAAAATATGTCCTTGACCTTCTCAAAGAGACTGGCAAGTTGGGTTGTAAACCCAGCAGAGTGCCTATAGAGCAAAACCACAGGATTGGGAGTGATGAGGAAAGTCCAAGGGTTGATAAAGCTCAATACCAGAGACTTGTGGGAAAGCTCATTTATCTATCTCACACCAGGCCTGACATAGCTTATCCGGTTAGTGTTGTCAGTCAATTCATGCATGATCCACAGGAGAGGCACTTACAGGCTGTGGATAGAATCCTGCAGTATTTAAAGATGAGCCCAGGAAGAGGTCTATTGTTCAAGAAAAGTGAGCAGTTGTCTATGGAGGTCTATACTGATGCAGATTATGCAGGGTCGATTGTTGACAGGAGATCCACCACTGGATATTGTATGTTCTTAGGTGGAAACTTAGTGACATGGAGGAGCAAGAAACAAAATGTAGTTGCCAGATCAAGTGCAGAGGCAGAGTTTAGAGCCATGGCTCAAGGAGTTTGTGAATTGTTGTGGATGAAGATTATTCTAGATGACTTGAAAATAAAATATGAAGCTCCTATGAGACTTTTCTGTGATAATAAATCTGCTATTAGTATTGCTCACAATCCGGTCCAACACGACAGAACAAAGCATATAGAGATAGACCGACACTTCATCAAAGAGAAATTGGACAGTGGTCTTATTTCTACACAGTACGTCCCATCAGGACTCCAGTTAGCTGATGTGCTCACCAAAGGACTCCCCTTAGAGCGGTTTCGAGATCTTACTTGCAAGCTGGGGATGATAGATATCCATTCCTCAGCTTGAGGGGGAGTGTTGTAATATTAGTATTATTATTATTAGAATATGTTGAATATCATACAGCTCATTATGAGCTGGTATCCTATACAACTTATTATGAATAATTAGCATTTATAGGAGAATAATTACACCCTTATTTAGATAGATGTATAGTCTATAAATACCTCTTATGTATTCTTTACAAGATATATAAAATATTTTCATATTTCAACACTTAGACTATGGTTTTATCACTTATGCCTTTTGATACATGTAGTATGGAGCTTGGTTTCTGTTAAGCAAGGTATTAAATTTGAGTGTGTTATTGCCTGAGACTAGAAATAAAATAGGCGCTGAGAGAGTGTTCTTCTTTTTAGTTGGTCCACCCAACTTGACTTCGAGTCATCAATTGAGGCCCAATGTGACTTTCAGATACCAATGGTTTAAAATAGAAAGATTTTATCATAGAAACTATAGGATGAAAAATATATCAGGTATTCATTTCTTAGTAGTTATGATGAGCAGTGACGTTAATATCATGCTGTAGCAGCATAGCGGCCCCTGGCCACTACAAGACACACAGTAGCGGTCAAAATTGCGTCTGTCAAGGAAAATAACGCCCTTCTGAATGAGGTGGAAAATTCCAAAATAGCTCTAAGGATTCAAATATTGGCGCTTTTTGGTGTGTGTATTTTTGAAATTTTGCAATTAGAAATTACCAAAACAACATTAGGTTTCTCATCTTTCACTCCAGTTGGCATTTTTAACCTCCACATTGGTTAGTCGCAAGTCACAACTAGTTGTTGAGTATTTTTGCATATATTATTGATTATTAAAAAAAGGTCAGAGTTACAGCCATCCTGCTATCTGTTATCCCGCTAACCAATTTTTCGGGCATGACCGCTCTTCTCTGTTATCTGGGATTGATAACAATGATGATGAGTTATGACTTACCTTAGTTTGATTTTTCCAATTGTGATGAAACTGGAAGCTATCTGATATTAATAGTGGTACTGGTATGGGACTATGGGTGGTCAATTACTTTTATCATGTGTTTAGTAAATTTTAAGTTTCGGTTGGGATCTCGAGGGCCTATGGTCTTTGTTTTCTGTAAATGAGTTAGTTTGTACTCTAAATTCAACTTTTAATTATTTTAGGTCTGCAAATATGAAGCAACATCAAAAGAAGAGTGGCAAGAGCAATGCAAGTTTTGGCCAACGGCATATCATCCAAGAACTTAGTAAGCTTCAAGTTCTTATTCTCTTATTAATTTACTTTATTTTGAATACCATAGTGAGCTTTTATCAAAATTACAAAATGTTGGTTTCATTTGAGTAATTGAAACTCAAAGTAGCTTAAATATGAAATCTGTCATCAGAATATCCGATGAATAAAAGTCTATATCTTAAAACATGCACAAACTGTTAAATGAGATTCCAAATCCTAGAATTACATTTTACAATTTGATTAAATGATTTGGAAGATGGATAGGGAGGGACTATACAAAAGATTATATCCATCAGATGAGAGTTACACGTTAGACACTGTCTAGTTGGCTTGGTAGTGGGTAATATATACATTAGTGCGTCTACATAGATGAAAAATGTATCACCGTTGTGTCTATGGCATTCAATGTGTAATTGTTTTCTGTCTTTCGTGAATAACCCAGGCTTGTTTACATTTTTATGATGTTTCCAGTAGTTTTAAAAAAAAGATTTATTCAATGTAACAATCTAAGCGATGTATGTTCTCTATGGGTTGAAACCGGGGAAGTTTGAATGGGAAAGGGTTAGAGGGTATTTTCAATAATTTGGACTGCACAAGTAATGGACATGTTAGGACCATCTGGTGCAACAAGATCTTTTAGTTTCATGGTGGTTTGAAAAACTATGCTCATCTTAAAATCTTTACCATACATAACCCATATTAAATTACTTATGGGACAGGGACCCTACATCTTTTTTGTTCTCAATAAGCTTACTGGACTAAATCCCAAAAACTTGTCTTTATCATAATAGCTGATTTTGCTTATGATGTTGACTTTGCAATTTAATAACATTACAGCAGCATTGATGGCATTACTGGATTTAGCGAAGAGGACTCGCATTCAGTTTTGAAGTTTATGCAATCTGCAGTAGAGTTGGCAACATCTGATGGCTTGGTAAATATACAAACTTGACCTTTTTGATACAGTTTGTGACAGAAATAATGTTTTGACCAGACAGGCTTATCTTTTGTCGCTTTATTTCTTCTGATTATGCCACAACTTGAGCTATGTTCACTTCATCACTTGCTGAATTAATAAAGCCTATTTTGGTTAGAGTTTCCTACGATTCAATTTCACATTCAACTGCTGCTTACCTAAAATTTTATCAATTTAGGTAGTCAATGCTGCAGTGATAGTGGATCCTTCAGCTAAGCAAATAATTTCAACTGCAAGTGATCAGGTTTTTACTTGGAACACTTGCAAAGATGACAGCTGCGATAGAAAACCAGATTTATTTAGTTCTCATCCTGTTTCCAATAGCTTGGATCCCCAGAAACCGATGCATTTAAGAAGTTCCTGCAATCATCTTAAACAATCATATACAGGTGTTGCTTGCCTATATCCTGGGCAATGGACTGAGCAGCAATCACATTCACAGAGTTCATATTATTGTCATCCTTTGCGACATGCTGCCATTGTAGCTATAGAATCATCTGCTGCCAGGGATAGACATCTTTTCCCCAACGATGAAGGCAGTAAAGAAAAATATTTGGAATTGGATCTTGAAAATCCTTGTACAAGCTCTCCTTCAAAGAGACAGAAAACTGTTTGTGCTACTGTAAGTTTACCTACATACGTCTGATTTATGAATGTGTTTTTAAGGAACATGGCCTGTAGACACGCCAATGGATAATGGACTAGATGGGTACTAGCAAAAATCAGATTTAATGAATAGAGTAAGTATCTCTTAAATGGCCGTGGCTTTATAGATGGATGATCACTTGAAAAAGTTTAAAAGGATGGGTAATTTACCAGAAGGAACGCTGACCATTACTTTCTGTTGAAAATCTAAGGCCTAATAAAGCATCTCACATCAACTTTAACATTAGAAATATAGAAATGTATAAATACAATTTGTTGTTCATTTTCAATTGAGTGTATTAAGTAGAAAGCTTTATTTGATATTGGTGTGACTTTTCAGGTTGAGGATAATGACAAATTGAATGCTCATAGTCAAACTTCCAATCAGATTGAGGAGAATGATAAATTGAATCCTAATCTGCTGCCAGAACGACCATATTTATGCACTGGTTATGACATATATCTTGCTTGGGAACCTTGCACGATGTAAGACTGGAACAAGATTGTTCTATAAACATTGAAACACTTTATTGTCTGTTGAATTTATCTAATGTCTAAATTAGTCTTGTTACTTGTCTATGAAGGTAATATGAGGAAAAGAAACTAGCCCTGATTCTCGTTTTTTTCTTGAGTGCCTTGTAACACATAATATGGAAAAATTCTCTCCAAATTTCACTTTCTGATGGTTAAAGTCTCTTCCTAAGCATATGTTTTCTGATATATTTGCTTTCCACTTCAATGTCAGGTGTGCCATGGCCCTTGTCCATCAGAGAATCAGGCGAATATTTTATGCTTTTCCAAACCCTAAAACCGGTGCCTTGGGCAGTGTTCACAGATTACAGGGAGAAAAGAGCTTAAATCATCATTATGCTGTTTTCAGAGTTTTGATCCCTGAAGAAGCCCTCCATAAATGTCATACATCAGTTGCAGAATCTGAAGAAACTGGTATTTGACTAGTTATTTAGTAGCATATGCAGCTTCTTAAAATTCAAGTGTGGATGAAGTATTTTTGCTGTAGAGAGTAGAGACTATTTATTAGTGAATATTGATTAATGTTTAGTGATTAAGTAGTAGATGTACCTTCAGATGTCAATTTTGAAAGCAATTTTTGTCCTTGTAGATGAAATCAGGGTTACATTGACACTTGTACCATTGTACACCAATATGTTTTCGAATTTTGCTTACCAATCTAATGACTTTTTTCTGAAAACTTTGGTATACTGAAAAAATGGCCACTTTGACAATATGCTATTCTTTTTCTCACCAAGTAGGAATGGGAATAGGCCAGCTAAATTTTCCTTTAGTTAGAATTCTATTGATAGTTATAGTTAGAACTCTATATAAGCTCCTTTGTAACTGAATGACAATAATGCTTTCAAAATTTTGTTAACCTCTTTTTCGTTTCTCTCTTCTCTCCTTCTCTATGCATGTACCAATTCTAACATGGTATCATAGAGCTTCTTTTTTATAATCCACGTAGTAAACCTATCTCCTTCGAAACTATGGCAACACCCATGCAATCACCAACATCTCAAAGCTACCACAACATATTATGAAACCAACATCTCAAGCTACCACAACACATTATGAAGGGTGTTCTGTGGTATGAAAATGGTGAAATTCGTTGTTTCGCCAGAGATTCATGAGCGCTTCCTCACCTTTGCTGATCGTGAAGTTGGTATCGTGAACCCTAGCTATGTCGCGTGGGAAGAACAAGGCAAGTTTGGGAAGAAATTCATGCCTTTTGCCATATGCAAATGAAAATGCAATCTAGGCAACTCAACTGAACTACAATTGCTATCAAAAGGAACTCGATCAATTGCAGAATTTCTTGCTTTCGCATCATAGTCGACATGCTGATGTCAATTGGTCATCTTGTGCTTCATCGTGATCAAATTGAAATGATACTTGAAATTTTACCAACTGAATTTGATATAGTAGTTGTTGCGGTTAACTCAAGGTTTGAGTTCATCTCACTCGATGAACTAGAACCTCTCCTTAGTCAAGAATCACATATTTAAAAATCAAGGAAATATGTAGCTAAATGTGTCGGTTAATCTTACTCGAAGAGTTGTGCAACCTTCCAATCTTAACACCTTTGATATTATTGATCCTAATTGCTTCAATTTTCAAATTTTTGGTCATCGTAGAGGTGTTCGTGGTTGAAGGTTTAGAGGTCGTGGTAATCAATTCCATGGTAGAGGTGCTCGTGGTGGAAGATTTAGAGGTCGTGGTGCTTCTAATGAAAATATGAATTTTGTTAAGTGTCAACATTTGCTACAAAATTGGACATAAGGCTAGTTATTGCCCATATCATCACACACATATTCCATGTGGTAACTATGGCGCACCTCAATCTTATAGAAGCTATGGTACAAGTCTGTCCATTTTATGGACACAACCTGGTTATAGAGCACCTAATCCTATGAACGTGAATCCTTTAATATTTGTTAGTCCCTCTTTGAGTTCTCAATACATTGGACCAAGACCTCAAGCTCTGGTTGATTGCACTGAGTCCTCTCCTTTTTACAACCAAACCTAGTATCTTGACTCAGGAGCAACACACCATGTCACTCCTGATGCCTCCAACCTCATGGAATCTATCTAGCTTCCTGGCACTGACCATGTTTACACTGGAAATGGTCATGATTTGTCTATTACTTCTCTTGGCTCTATGGTTTCCCCCTCAAATTTATATCCCAAGACACCTCTAAAATTGACCAAACTTCTTCTAATTCCCTCTATCACTATAAATCTTATCAATCTTAGTCAATTTGCAAAATACAACTCTGTCTTCTTTGAATTTCTTGTTAACTCATGTTTTGTTAGTTGCCAAGCTACCTCTAGAGTGCTCTTAAGTGGCTCTCTTGGAAGTGATGGTTTGTACAAGTTTGACTGCACATTTCAACCATCATTCATCAAGTCCTAACTGGTACCAATTCTACATCAGGTCTCAAGTCTCTTCCTACAATTTTATACTTTAGTTTTGTTTTAAATACAACTTGTAATAATGTAACTAGATGCTCTAGTCCCAGCTTGTACCAAATTTGACATCATAAGCTAGGCCATCCCCATCATGAAACTTTAAAGCATATTCTAAAATTGTGTAACATTCCAGTTCCTAATAAAAACTTAGATGATTTTTTTTTGCAATGCTTACGTTGATGTCATACTACACCTAATCATAACACCACACCCAACTCATCAAATTCTTCAACACATTCTCCAATTATGTCCACCACTTCACCTCTTGTGGACACTGCCACACTCTCCACATCCACTTCAACAGGTTCACCTTGGTTTAATTTCTTAAGAATATTGAGTGACTTGGATGAAGCCAAATGTTTAAAAATAAAACAGTAAAAACAACTTCGAATGTACCGAAACAACTGATAATTGATCATGCATCAAAAATAAGAAAAGAAAGCATGATGTTCTTTGTTTCTTACCTTTCTATAACAAACAAAAAGCTCACTTACATTAACTTGAATAGAGAATGCGAACAAGTTAACAGAGAAATACAAAATTTATATACTAATGACAAATCTAAGATACCTTGAGATGCGTCTACTACACCAAAATGCCTAATACATTGTCATCAATATATTTGGCCTACTATAAAGTTTAGGAGTATGAGACTCCATTCTTGTATATAGAATAGGATTAGGATTATACATACATAAGCAAACAAGAATAAATGCGATCTTCGACCTTTACGGATCAGTATACAACTCACATCGTGCTAGTTCCGACTTTTGCACTTTTCCATGGCTCGAGGTGCTGCAGAAATCGGTAGTATAGATGAGTCTAACAACAAATATGAAGGAATGTTGAGATTTTAATGAAACATATACGTTGGCCTTACCTAGCCCAATTGCTTCAGAACTCTTCATTATCCTCAGCCTCTTGCAAGATTCGGTGAACATCCTAAACCAAGAAAAACAACGTCATTTCAGTGAACATAGCGAATTATTGATGTCGTGAAAAACCAAGACAGTTTCTTATGAATTACTACTATATGAGAAAATGGACTTACTCCCACGGAACATCACCGACGAGCATCCAGTCACTGTCCTTGTCTTCATAAGTAAGCACATATTCTGAACCATGAAGAAGATCCACCAATCTACTCTCGCTTAAAGTTTTTTCTTGACTAGAAACCCCGTACGAGCCACATTGACCTAGACTTGTCGATAAAAACATCATCATGATCATGCAAAAAACACTTTTGTTCCATCGAAACGTTATACAAGACTAGAATAGACAAAACATATGTTTAAAACAACTGAGAATACGATAAGGTGATAACAAGTAGGTAAGAACTCACTGATTGTAAAACAGCTGAACATCTTTTCGAGTGCGGATGAAAGTTCCCTGTAAGAGCTAAAACCATTCAGATCCACTTTCCGCAAGTATGGTGCGCCTTCCATGCTAACTTTTACATAAAGGCAATCAGATTTGGCTTCTGCATCAGCATCATTCTTTTGAGGCGGAGAAACCATTGAGTTCTTCCTGAAAGATCGGATTGGTGGCCATCCTACAACCTGCGCCCTGATTCACACACGAATCCATATTGCAAAGAGGAAAAAAAAATCAATTTTTTGGCCAGTGAGACTGTTTGAATTGTGAATATAGTTAGCAAGAACCATCAACCTCTATTTGAATTGACATATTTGAGTTTATATACCGACATAAACACATGTGAGACTGTTTGAAAGAGCTTATAGAAACACCTTTTGACAGGTCCATAAGTTGTTTTTAGCTTATTTTCCTAAGCTCTTTAAGATAACTTTATTTCATTTTCTTCTGAATTATCAGCACAATCAATTACTCTAAACCAAAAGAAACATCAAATTCAACATAATTTTGTTCTTGCTTTCAACATTTTGTAAACACACAGAAGAAACTATGAACACAAAAAAGTACTAACAAGCCAAATAAACACAAAATTTCAATAAACAAAAACTCAACATCAATCAACAAGCAAATTAAAAGAAGAACCACCACACAGAAATGAAAAGAAACTACAAAATAGAGACATGCAACACAACTACATAACAAGAAGAAACCTTACTTAGCAGAAGGAGGAGAAATCTGTGGCTTATTATTCTCATGCAAGGTCTTAGGAGAGTGAGGAACAGTTTCCTTAACAACAGTTCCAGAAAAAAGATTCTGTTGGTTGTTGCATTCAACACCAACAGCAACACCATTTTTCCCTTTAGGAGAAAACAAGTTTCCATCTTTACACAACCCCACTTCAGATCCACCATTTCCAGACACAACCCATTTCCCAGAACCTCCATCTATAGCATCAGAGAAGCCCCTCTTAGCTCCAGACACCAAACACTTGAGCATGGACAACCCACCATTCTCTCTCTCCGGTGACTCAGAGCCAGGTAACCCAAGTCTCAGTTCAGTAGCTTTGAGGTTCAATCCAATGTTCCTCTCAGTGGCTTCCATTAAAGGAACCTCACCACCACCATAGCCTTGTTCTAATGGCACAGACATCAAAAACCTTATGCTTCAAACACACTTTTTCTTTGAAGAAAAATCACAAAAATGAGAGTGAAGAATGAGAAGTTATTACTTATTATTAAGAGTGGAAAAAGATAAGAGAATGTTCTTTGTAGCTTATTATATAAAATGAGGGAGAGAAAAAAAACATGTACATGAGAACATTTATTCAAGTGTTTAAATAAGGTTTTTGTTTTTTTTAAGAATTTTTTTAGGGTTGTTGTGTTGTGCTTGTTTTTATTTATTTTTATAATTTTTAATTTTTAATCTTATAATAAATTTTTGGGTGAATCTTTTTGTGGTCAATTACTCCGACAATACACAGAAAGTACCGGCAAACTTTTCTTATTTTTATTGAAAAAGGAAAAAATATATTATGCTTTATGAATGGTGTGTGTAGTTAAATTAGGGTGGTATAATCATCATGTATTCAATTTAAAATTAGACTTAAAAGTTTTAAAAAAATATAAAAATAGTGTTGTTTGAAAAATGTGCCATTATTAATTTATTTTAAGATATGTTTTTTTTTTTTAAATAATGTGTTGATTTGAGGGAAAGGAAAAAGAAAAAAGAAAAAAAGAAGAAGAAAGTGCATTGAGGAGTGTTTGGAGGAAAGGTGAGACAGAGAAGGCGGAAAGGTGGATGATGGAATCATAATATAACAAGTTTGATATTTTTTTATTACTTGCTTTTTTGGATTGTTGGAAAAAAATTTAAAATAAAAATTTTAGTTGCATTTTGTTTGTTTAATTGAATTTTAGTTTTTTATTTTGATTCGATAAAGATCGGAGAGTTTCACAAGGGTGAAAAGTGAATTAGATCATATAGTTATTCTAAAAAATTTACTGATATTTATAAGTATTTTTCTGATATTGAAAGGTGATACATGAAAATGCTTTCGATGTTTAAATTAGTGGTTGTCAATAGTCAAAAGTGTTTTTAGGGTTGAGTATATGTAATTGAGATAATTTCTTAGTTGTCATCACTTATCCTAAAACATATTAGGATGTGTTTGGATTAACTGTGAATAGAATTAATTTTAACAGAATTGAATTTGTTAGAATTAATTTTAACAGAATTGAGTTTAGTATAATTAATTTATATTTAGATATATTTATGTAAAAGCGAGTTAAACAATAAATTTTAGTGTAACAATCACTCATAATCAATTCTGAAGGTAGAAGCTACAAATTTTATCTTCAAGTATAATCAATTATACTTTTGATAAAACAAATACCTCAAAATCACCCAGAATCAATTCTACACCTCTAAAATTGATTATGGGTCTTCCAAAATCAATCCAAACATATTATATTTGAGAGTTGCGACAAACGGACTCATACAAAACAATTTACCACTTACTGCAAGTAATATCTTTTATATTACCACATGTTGCAAATAATATCTTTCATATTTTGTTCCAATTATCTTTCAAGTCATTTTCTTAACATCTAAATTATAGTTAGTGATACTCGCTTTGGTAGTACGTTCATGGTTAAACTTGTAATTTCACAGTCAATAGTCTTTTATCAAATAAACAAATTTTGGTTGTAATCTATGAATTAAAGTTCTAACTTTTAGAGGAAAGGAATGTTCAAATTTGAAAAGATATTCTTACCATTAACCTAGTTCAAGGTGAAAGCATTCGCGGACCCACCACAACCATTGAAGTGGCTAGCTACAAAGAGGGGCTAAACCGGTTATTTGCCATATTTTAGTATTGCTTTCTTTGTGTGTATGTGTATGTGTGTGTTGTGTTGGCATCATGGGACTTTGATTGCTTTAGTCATATGTCTAGAGAGTTTTTGATAACACCCATGAGCCTTGCGATGGGGCTTCAATCTCTGTAGTCGTTCCCCAGACTAATCATTACCTTTAATAGTCATAAAGGAAAAAGATAACCCAGTGAGGGGAAAATTCTTTAATTGAACGATGGTAATACATCTTGATTTTTACAAAATAAAGCAAAATGGAATTTAACATATTTGGGTAGAATAACCGTCATTTATTGGTCGCGTGGTACAGTTGTTCGTTCAAAGAAACCACATTGATTACCATGGCCTTAGTTTCACCTTTTGTCTAATCTTGTTGTAGGGCCTTGTAGATCATTTTGGCTTCTGAAAGATCAATATTGATCGTTGTCGACTCGTTGTGTATGTTGTGGTACTTCAAGGGGAAGCGACCATGCCCAGGGTTACCGCAAAAGGCCGACCTAGGATGCAGTTGTAAAAGTTCCTGCAAGGAATGACAAGAAATTAGGAGTCAGACGTCTTAATATCTCTTCCCTTCCCCAAGGTAACCAACCATCAACTCTATATACCCATAGGGTGAGTTACAATGCAATTGAAGAATTGCAGACCTGACCCCTCATAAAGACACAACATTTCCTTATTTAATCTCATCTTCTCAAAGAGATCTTCGTACATGATATTACAGGAACTTCTAACATTGATCACTATCTTAGATACGTTAAAGACGGTGATTGCAATCGTTATGACCGGAGGAAATATTTCGTCAGGAACTCCTTCAACCTTCATGTTATCTCGCAATCCATTGATAGGTCTCTATGAGCGCTTTTCAAATGTTCTCCATTTTTTCTAGCTGGTGGCCATCCATTCAACGATCTTTCTCTTTACTGTGCCCTTGGACGAATTATTCACTCTTAGGGCACCCCTCAGTAGTGGAAAGAATGTACTAGAACTTCCCCTTGTGTATGTTATCTTCTCCGTTATTTGCCTTCTTGCCTTTATTTTTGGTTAAACTCCAACAACTTTCTTAGGGGATTGCTTCCTCTAAGGGGAAACCTGTAACACCCCGTTTCCCGAAATAAAATAAAACAATTAAATAAGCATACATCAGAGTTTCTCTCCCAAACGGGATGCCACAATTTCCAACAATTTCCATAAATCATTTTTTTCCAAATTAATTTCTCAATAAAACTGCAGCGAAAAAAAAAATATATACATAGTCTGTCATAATTCACAAAACATCATATATATATATACAACAATCGGCCAACAACCTAAAATATATAACATGATCATCAAACATCATCACACGTCTCACAAAAGTCAGATACGCCACAGGGGCACACATATCATCAATAAAAATAAGACTCCCCAAAAGCCCCGGTGTTACGTGTCAGAGCAATCCTACGACGACGCCACAATCCAAGCTAGCTAAACACCTGGATTTTCTGTACTCCCGAAGAAGCACAGACCACAACAGCAACAACAAAGGGGTGAAAGTCACGATCAAATATTAACGGTATAAATGTACATGAAATAAAAGGCAGAAAACAATAATTCATTTCATACACATCATATTCGGACCTACTGTCCCATCATTAAAAATCACAACACACACAAAATAACAATGCAACATATGCAATTGACTCGACAAGATGCGGTACTGACTCAACTCATGATAGATCGCGTACACTCCACCGAGCAACGACCTATCCCTACCACGCTCCTCCTGAGCCCATATAATCAAATCATCAACGTCCCCCACTTAGGACACGGGTGGTCGCATACACTCCTTCCGAGCAACGATCCAAATTCCCGTTCACGCTCCCCACTGGAGCACGTGAGCCACACAGGCCTCACGTCCACACGCTCCCCATTTGGAGCACGTGAGCCACACAGGCCTCACGTCCACACGCTCCCCATTTGGAGCACGTGAGCCACACAGGCCTCACGTCCACACGCTCCCCATTTGGAGCACGTGATCCACACAGGCCTCACGTCCACAGCTCCCAATTTGGAGCACGTGAGTGAATCGCATACGCTCCACCGAGCAACGATTCACCATGTCAACATACCATGCAAGACGCTATGCATAACCACACGACACACACAGTGCACACGATCCTACGGATCCATTCATCATAATATGCATACGTACACAAGCACACAAAGTGCATTGATCCTACCGATCAACTCACCACACAACATATCACACATCGTGCACCTAAGGCATATCGGTCCTACTGACCCAATCCATCACACAACAGTATTTAACCACAACGCCTATAAAGCGTATTGATCCTCCCGGATCCACTCCCACAGCACACCAACAAAACGCACTTAAGGCGCCACGATCATATTGATCCTCACATCTTACTCACAGCACGCATACGGTGCACATATCTCACGTACGCATCCACATTGGTTCATACATAATGCGTATTTTACCAATTAGGCCACTTGCGATAAACGCCAGCTAAACAGCCTTACAACCACCAACATATACTCGTATCAGCTCCCCAACCAGCCTCTCGTCACACATGACCAACGAGAGTCCAAGTCCACAACGAAACAATACAAAAACAGCAGCAGAATCACAAACTGTTGTCGGGCTCGCTGGCACATTCGCCCGGCGAAGCCCCGCAGCGAAGGCTCGCTGCCATTCGCCTGGAGAAAACCATGGTGAAGCCAAATAGAAGCTTCTGCCAGCACTCGCTGGCTAGTTCGCCTGGCGAAGGCTCGCCCCCATTCGCCCAGCGAATACCTGCGCACACAGAAAAGTTCTGCATTGCAGAATCGCCTCCCTCACCGATTTTCGCCTGATTAAATCAATACCCACCACCATCCATATACGACAACTTAGCTACGGGGTCTATCCCCGATTCTATCCGACTAATCCTCAACTCTGCTCTCAAAACCAACTTCCGGCTCAACTTCAGACTTAACCGAAAATTCTAAAACTCATTCAACAACCATCAAATTCAACATGCATTACTTCTCCCGTAATACCAAGGATTCCTAACAGAAATTAGCAACTAGCAACAACAACAAAATCATCATCCACATGCAATAATCTCATACTTGGGGTTAGGGATTCCCCTTCTACCAATATTCATGTAAATACCTATTTTAACCGTTAAATCCCCCCCCCCCCCCTTATCTCAAATTCGATTCTGATGATGATGAACCTTCACAAATTCACAGCCTTCCCGTCTTCCTTGCCGAGCTTGTTCACTTGATCGCTTC